TAGCAGAATATAAGCCTTATACTATAGGCCCTAATCCGAGGTTTAAAAAAGGTAATATACGCTTCCGCTAATAAACGCGTGTACTATAGTTATAGTTAGACAACCTGCGGTTATTTATATACAGGAATAAAATAGCTATAAAGTAGAATAATATATTTGAAAAATTCCTAGATCGGACCTTAGGCGCAGTACGGATGCGCTGGTATATACTATAACGGAAATAATCTATTGCTATAATAATATTAATATATATACCCTATTCCTTCTAATAAAATTTCGAGGTAAAAAAAGTTAAGTCCGGCTCTTTTAGTGCCGATACTGTATTTAGCCAGCCGTTTACTACCCTAAATTTAAAAAAGGGGCTAATACCTTTAATAACTACTAGAACGAGGATAAAACCTCTACCTATAATATTAAATCCTAAAATTACAGCCGGTAGGTATACTAGTAACAGGGATTTAGTAGAATAAGTAGATAAGTTTTAGAAAGTCTGCCTTAAACTAAGGGCCGGTAACAACCGCTATATTAGGCCTAGTTAGGGAAAAAAAGAATAGATAACCGGGTAATAATAAGCATGTATATCCTTACTACGCGTTCTATTAACCTAAGGTCTACCTATACTAAAGGCCCTACTACTAGTACCCTAAGTTAAAGCCTTTAATACCTCTAAACTTTAATACCTGCTTATAAATAATAGTATATTTCTATACTTATAATTATTTAATCTGCTCTAGGTTAATATTAAAAAACGGTTTCTGTATATTTATAATTTAATATTAAAAAGTATTACTTAGATCTAAGGTAATTGGCGCCGCGATTATAATAGATGCTATACTACAATTACTTTTATAAGAAATAAGTAAATACTGCTGCCCTCGGTTAATATAGAGTTAAGACCTATACTAGCCTTTTCTAGCTATACCGCCGAGAAGGAAAGCTTTGCTCCGGGCTAATAAGTAATAGGGCAGGCCGTATAGATATAGCTCGCGGCGTGTTCTTAACGTTGTTATTAATGCGTTATTTTTTAGAGGGTAATAGCATGTATATAGAAAGAGTATTTATCTTAAAAAAGTTATATTAGCCGCGCTTACTCCCCTGCGGCCTGTTACTGCAATAGTTGGCTAAGTTAAACTTAGGTAAAAATGGAAAAATTTCTAGCTAAAATAGGACTAAAAAGCAATTATAGTATTATAGCATAGAATTCTATAAGGTTTTAAGTATTATTAGTAGAAGTATTAGTAGAAGTCCAGCAGGGCGATTATTTATTTATACTGGTGAAATTGCCTAGTTTACTAATATAGTAGTGCACTTTATAAACTCTAGGACTTCGCCTAGTTTATTATATAATCTATCCTATATATAGATTTTTAAACTCTTATAATTCTTTTATTTATATAATTCTTTTAATTATATAAATCAAGGGCGCTGCTAAATATACACCCTATATTTACTCGGTGTACACCCCTTTTCTACTCCGTATACACCCTTCTTACGTCTAATCTTCTGATTGGTCCGGAGGGCTCGGAGGAAGCTCCGGCGCTTAATTCTCACGCGCATCTATATGAAATGGGAAGGCTGTACAGCCTCACTATTTCATTGTGCATTCTTACCGTTTCCGTGAGGCTATATATATAGGCCAGCTACACGTAAGGCCTCACGTGAGGCCGTACGTGAGGCCGTACGTGAGGCCGTACGTGAGGCCGTACGTGAGGCTACTTATGGCAAGGCTGTGCAGCATACCCGTTTTACTATGCATACTTCCCGTTTCCTACAGTGTATATAGGCCGTTGTATTGCTACCTACGTGCCTACGTGCCTATAAGCATGCCAAAACAGTCAAATCCTCACCTTATTACGGCCTCTCTGCATCAAACCTGGCCCCCCTACATCGCCGCCGCGCCTTCCTGGCTATCCTGATCCATCAACCCCTCCATATACTGCTCGTACAATGCCATCTAACGTTGGAGCTCCTTATAAGGAAGCAGCGCTGGCGCTGCCTAAGGCTAAGGAGCTAGCTAAGGCTGAGGAGCTGGCTAAGGCTCAGGATGAGCGCTATTATAACACTGCGCAGCCCCTTTCCGTGGTGCTGCCTTCTTCCTAGGTGCCTTATCCTTTGCACCAGGCGGCCGGCCACGCTTCTTAGGTGCAGCAGTAGATGCAGTAGTAGGTGCGGGCGTAGGTGCGGCAGTAGGGGGGGGCCTAGGTATTACTGCATGCTCAAACTCGGGCGGATTAGTAAGCAAATCGTCGAATTCCGTGATAGCTGGTGTAGCGGCCGACTAAGGAGCACTCTAAGCAACAGGAGCTAGACGGGGGGCTACGAAAATAGGCGGTCCTGGCGGTGGAACTGTCGGCGTGCGTCCTGTAGGTATACCTGTAGGTCTAGCTGCCGCACCTGTACCCGTAGCAATCTCAAATCTTAATAGCTCTCGCTGCGTATTGTTGTACGTATAATAGCCTCTCCTCGCAATAGTAGGCCGGCCGCGCCGGCGCTCAACAACAGCAGGATCCTCTACATCCTTAAAAGGCCCAAAAGGAATAGCTAGCTAATATCCTCCTGGCCGAACAAACCACTAATAGTAATCTATCTCTTCCGGTTGTATATAAAGCACCGGATCTAGCCAATTTACAAGCGCTTGGTGTAGAGGATTGTGCAGTTTGTGCGCACACAGAATACCATAGATAGACTCAAACATTTAAGTACAATTAAGTGGGTTGTATTCATTCGATTTAGCCTTTTAGAGCTGCTTCTTAAGGAGAACAAGCGCCTGCGGCGTCACCTTTTAATATAGGTTACAGAATTCGGGTTCTTTAACATCATGCGGAGTATAGGCGTGATATCTAGCCATCTTATCTTCGAACTTAGACCTGGAGTTAAGGATAAGGTTCTATATGTTAAGGAGAACGTCGAATAGATGGCCAGTTGACACCTGAAGGAAGCCCTTGAGTAGGCCGTGCGAGCCCTCGTTTCGCGATGTAACTCTGTGAGAAATCGAATCAGCATCATACATCTCTGCCACTTCCTTGTTTCTCAGTTATTCTTTGAGCTATGCTCTTGTCCTCTTCAGCGCTGCCTGTTCAGCACGTACGTAGACCCCGTGCAAAGTTTGGGCATCAAATTCAGACGTCTTGGTGTTGAGAAAAATCACTTACGTAGTACCAAAGTGCCGCACCTTACGGGTGTAGCAGGTGGCCCAATTCCACCTGCATAGCTACTACTTATTCTCTATATACGTCACCAGGTCAGGGCGCTCCTTGTAGTCGTCAAGTAGCTTCTTCCAAGCCTCATCGAATTAAGCCATGACTTCCAGCTTCATCGTGGCGGTCCAACGGGTAAGGAACTGCCCCCTTTTCTCCTGTTCCTTCTTCTGAATAGCTTCCTTCTCTTTATCTGATGTAGGCGCAGGTGGCGCGCTGCCTGCGGCGTACGTAGGTTCCTCCTTATACACCTCAGCCAGTTTGGTGACAATATTCTTTTCAATATGCCATACACAGAGGAGGCGCGCGACCGTAGGCCATTGTTAACGTAGTGCGTTCCTTAAAGCTTGTTCTTTATCCGTTAAGAAAACGCGTGGAACAAGAGAATAGCGCTCAAAGAGCTCGAAGAGCTGCAGTACTGCCCAGTCGTAGTTCGCCTCCTTCTCTTTTGGCAGGAAACAATAGGCAATTTCGAAGTTGTTGCTAGTACACGTGACGCCGGTAATATGCAGGAAGGGCATACCGAATCTATTGGTTTTGTAGGTGCAATCCAATAGGATAATGTCGTGATTAGCCCGTAGGATCTCGATAGAATCCGGATGGGCAAAGAAGAGGTGTTCAATTCGGTTCTGCTCATCTTTTGTGAAGTTGTATACATACTTCCTATCACGGCCGTCAGGTGCCGGGAATGTAGAGGTTTCTAACGTATAGAGGAGCGCCTGGATAGGCGTAAGGCCGCCGAGAAGCTCGTTCCTATACCGGGTGCGCTCATTGGTGATGTCGTGCGCCGTGATAGTAACCCCTTTCTTCAACAGCTTTGTATACGTCTCATTAGGCTTTGTTCCGCTTGATGCATCCATTCGAATGAGGGCATTCGTGGATGCCGAGCGCTTCCTATTACAGGCGGCTGCCGTAGGTTTGAGCATAGCGTTGTGATTGTTGTGAGCTTCCTCCACCGTCTCCCATAGCCAAACACGTGAGCCATCAACTCCAGGAGGCTGCCGAGTGAGCGTACCGCTCATCTTACAGTCTACTTTGTTAGTAGA